AGAAAGATCTTTGTCTTCCTCATACCCCTAGTAGAAGGTATTAGGAGACTTGTGTCTTTCTTCTAGGCCACTGTTGCATAATGGAGAATGGGTCAGTCTTGGAGTTAGGAATTCCAGAGTTCAAATTATGCTTCTGACATCCTTAATGTGTCACCATGGATGAGTTATTTAACTTCTCAAAGCCTCTGGCAACTCTCTAAAGTCTTAAATTACGAATGAGTTGCTGATATTCATTGGTAGAGGAAGCTGTCACACCATTTTCCTACCTCTTGTGCCCCTGCCTCCTGAAAAAAAAAAAAAGAAACCTTAGCTTTATGATTTTTGACTGTCATCTAAGTTTGGTAGGAAAGGGAGACATGTTCATTACATGCTATATCATCTTATATACTTTATATGTAAAATGTAAGCTTTCTGAGGGCAAAGACTACTACATTTTTGTGTTTGTATGTCCCCATTGCTTAATATAGTGTCTAGCACGTAGCAAGCATTTGATAAATGTTCTGTTTAGAGAAATAAATGTTAATTAATTGCTAAATGAACCTACTCGATTCTCCAGTAGCTGTGCTGGTGAGTGTGTTGCTGTAGACAGAATGACTGTCTCTAAGGTTTGTTGGTTTTTTTTTCCTTGAAAGGGAGAATTCTCCTCTTCCAAGTCAGTAATATGACTGTTAAGCCCTCTCTTTCTCTGGATCTTATAGGCAACTGTTCAACATTTCCAGAATCATGATTGTAGGGTCACAGAAGAATGATCATTACATCCTCTCTATGTCATCTTTGTAGTTTTCTTATCAGGAAACATAGAAAAACCTCATGGAGGTTATTTTATACCTGGAACAAAATCAATGGAAGGGTTGAGGTAAGGAATTTACAAATGGAAGACCAGCTGGGTCCATGCTCCTGAAAAATGTCACACTGTGAATTTAAAGAGAAAGTTGTTAATTCCCCAATTAAACAATGAAAAAAAAAAGATTACTGGCACTAAGGAAGATACATATAAAATTTCTCGGTAGTGGGAAGTCTATATAGCAACTGTAAAATATGCATATATTATCAGGTCATCCTATCTTGTGAACACAAGTCCACCTCCAGCACACATTGAACTGAATCTTCCTCAAGTGAAAGAATTTAGAAGCAGGAACTGTTGCACCACAGGGAGCAAGCTGCTGAGGGATTGGGCTGATGGATGGCTACAGGGAGAATGCATTACCCCTCCCTTACCCTCATGTCAGCACCCAGGAGTCACCTTGCCACAGTCATGACTCTGCAGAAAGTTGATGGATGGTTGGTACACAGGCCAGTGACCATAGGTCTGGGATTCTGGACTGGAGAAAAATATGAAATCATCTCAGGGCTAGAAGCCGGTAAAGGATAAGAATATTCTGTTCTCATCAGTCCATTTCCAGGAAAAGTGCCTGTGAGAGCCTTGTCCAGATATAAACTATAAGTGATAACTACAGCCTTTTTGTATAGTGGATAGAGTACTGGACTTGGAGGCAGAAAGATCCGAGTTTGAATTCTGCCTCAGATACTTATTAGTTAGGAAAGAAACAAGCAGATTTGAAACAGTCCCACCACTCATTAACTACGTGACATCTTAGCCACATGAACCTGGGCATTTTTAAATCACTTATGTTCTCTTAGTCTCAGTTTGAGAGTGTTGGACTCACTGGCCTTGAGGTCCCTTGTAGTTCTTTAGCTGTGTTCCTCTGAAAAAGAGATGGTGGTGGTGGTCTTCATACAGTTGTTGTGAGGTTTAAGAGCAACATGCTTTATGAAAATTAAAACACTAGGTAAATGTCACTTGCAATTATTTCTTCCATATTACCTGTATGACCTTGGGCAAGTCATTTAACTTCTCTTGGACTTATTTCCTCATCTATGAAATGTGGAGGCTGGACTAGAGAAAAATGTAAAGTCCCTTCCAGCTTCAAATCTATAAAAATGGCTACTTCTCTATAAATAAATTCATATATATATATTTATATTCATAAAAATAAATAAATAGCCTTGGAAATGGAGAACACAGGTTTTGAATTCCAGCTTTGACACTTACGAGCTACCTGACTTTAAATAAGTCAGGAGACATCTTCAATTTCCTCATCTATACAATGAGGAGTCAGAATTGTTGTTGTTGTTTGTCCTTCAGTCTTGAAGAGGACCAATAACATCAGGAAGGTGATGTCTTGACTTCCAAGTGAATTGGATTTAAGCAAGGCAGGGCTGTGTGAAGGAAAGGGTGAGTGTTGCCTAACTGGAACTGGCCAGTTGGGTCTCCAGTGTGGCAGCTCAGACTACTCACGGTTTGGGACTTCTCACAGGTTGTTTTTTGTCCCACTTCTTGAAGAGGACCATGAAAACAGGAAGATGATGCCATGACTTGCAAATGAATCGGATTTAAGCGAGGCAGGGCTGTGCGATGGAAGGAGCTAGTATTGCCCAACTGGAACTGGCCAGTTGGGTCCTCAGTGGGGCAGCTATTACTACTCACAGATTCTGTAAAGAAACTTCAACCAGGAGTGTGGTGAGGCTGAAATGAAATAAAGTGGAACAGCTAGGTGGTGCAGTGGATAGAGTGAGGGGCCTGGAATCAGGAAGACTCGTCTTCATGATGTCCAAATCTGGCCTCAGACACTTACTAGCTGTGTGACCCTGGGTAAGTCACTTAGCCCTGTTTGCCTCAGTTTCCTCATCTGTAAAAAGAGCAGAAGAAAGGAATGGCAAACTACTTCAGTATCTTTGCCAAAAACAAAAACAAAGAAACAAAAAACTAACCCCAAATGGGGTCACAAAGACACAACCTGAACAACAAACTTTAAAGTGCTATAGAAATGCTAGTTGTTATTATTATTATTATTATTATTATCATTAGCCTATGGTTGCCAGGCTTCCAGTGTAATGAAGATTTCATCCTATACTCTTGCTTAGATCAAGCAATATTTGTCAAATAATACAAGGGTGTGCTGGTAAATGTTTAATAACCAGGGTGTGTTTGTGTGTGTTGGGGCTGGAGGGAGAAGAGTGTATGAACATATACTTTGAAATTTAATCTGCTTAATTAAGACTTTTAAAAGTTTAGACAATTAGCAAAACAATAAATCAAGCCCTAGGTCAGCTAAGTGGAGCCAATAGAGCTCAGGGCCTGGAGTCAGGAGGACCTTAGTTAAAATCTGACCTCAGATACTTACTAGCTGCGTGACCCTGGACAAGTCACTTAACCCTGTTTGCCTCAATTTTCCCAACTATAAAATGAGCTGGGGAAAGAAATGGTAAACCACTCCAGTATCTTTGCTAACAAAACCCCAAATGGTGTCATAAAGGGTTAGATATGACTGAAATGATTGAACAACAAAAAGTAAATCAAGCCCTGATTTGTAAAGGATTGCTGATTTCTGAAGTATAAGTGCTCACCCTGAAAATTTAACAGTAACTAGGCAAACTGATTAGAGTTGGCTCCACCCTATTTTTTAAATCCAATTAATTTTTCTGATACAGCATTTTATGTGTCTATGGATGTGATATATTATGATATATCATATATGTATATGATATATAGCATTGCATATATCTATGTCTCTATACACTTTAGCATTGCCTCTTTAACTTAATTACACAACTCTGAGTTTGATAAATTCTTGTTACTTGAATGAATATGTGAGAAATAATTCATTTGGATCCCTACTCTATTCCAATCAGTTTAATATTCTACACAAATCATATAGTGATAGGTTCTTATAGTGGGCCTCAAACTTTGATGCAATGTTCACTACCAAGTTATGAGGCTCACTTAGACACCCACAAGAATGCTGATAAAGATGTTTCCATCCTGCTTTACTCAGATTCCATGTCCAAACCCAGCATGTGGGGATGCCTTGGAAAGTCCTTCAATTTATTTTTGTACCTCTGGACCGTTCTCTCTTGTCCAACACGAGCAGGTGACCATCTTATGATCACTTAATCAGTGGAGATGCCACATGCTTCACTCAGCCTGTGACACCCCCACCTCCCACCCAGGCTAATATGACATTTTGGTCCTTGAGAGCAAGATCTATCAACCAATGAGAATCTGTATTTTGCCATGTCTCTTGTGCATATTTGGGTATCAAACCCTATGAAAATAAGATCATGTAAGAAAAGGGTATCTCAGATTGTGAGGAAGACCTGAGGTCTACCTCATTAGAGGGGGCCATGAACCCTTTAATAAAGTGCCATTGGCTCAGAGCTCTGCCTCAGTCTCTTTTATTGTAGGTTGGACAATTTTAATACCACAAATAAATGTTTAAGAGGAGGGCTTAAAGTCTTGGAAACAGTTTTGAAAAGATTTGTCCCAAGATACATTAAATCAGAAAATTAGCTTTCTCAAAGATGTTTCTGTAGATAGAAGAAAATCCTTTTCTAAGGTGGAAGATGGCTTTTATCTCCATAATACCTTGGACGTCAATCTGTGACTATTTAATTTTTCTACTAGTTTCTATACATAAGTACCAGTGATGTGAAAGAACTCTTCAAAATCAGTGGTGATCAGAAAGGTTGTTAACATGTGATTTGTGAGCTAGTTTTTAAAATATTTTGTTAACTGTATTTAAATATAGTTGATTTCCTTTGCAATACTATGTATTTTATCCCTTTGAAAACATTTTTCTGAGAAAAAAATCCATAGGCTTTCCAGACTTTGAAATGAGACCATGACACAAAAAAGATTAACTACCTCTAAACCAGATTATAATAATATAGAATTTTATACTCCAGAAATAATAGAAAAGGTCACTTTTTGACTGGAAACATAGCGTTAACTCAGAATTTGAGTTCTAATCCAACAATTTTCAATTAAAAATATAAATGATCATCCATGAAAATTTTTAAAATGATACCCTCAACACAATTTCTCCATCTTCCTAACAAAACTAACAAGGTGCTAACTATTTCTGCTATACTAGTCCAATAGGACTTTGTCTCAAAGTTTGGGTTTGAGACAAAAAAAAAAAGAGTCAACACGCCATTTATTTGTTTGATCAGAGATATTCATTGGAAAGGTGACTCAACAGAAACATATATGTTTTACATCAACATAACCATGTCTAGCCCTCAGAATTCCCAAACACTGGATTGTGTCTGCATAGTTTACTTTGGGTGGTAGCTAACAGGGTTCCATGTAGTGGAAAAATATCAGGAGGGGAAAATATCAGGAAGGTGCTTGTTACAAATTTTAGGAATGCTACAGTTGAATTTGGAGTCTGCTGCTACAAGATTCCTTCCTATCCCTGACATAGACCTGGAGCTGCTGTCCAAGGTAAGATGACTGATGCAAGAGGATGGCCGAAAGTGAAGGTATTAATATAGCTTTTAGTACCATGAGTTGGCAAAAGTCACAGCCCAGAACCAGTCAACTTCTAGTATTAAAAGTTATCCAGTCCTAAGCAAGGCACTGCAGATCTTTCTAATCTCAGGCAATCATTACTAAACTCACCAATAGGGTCTCTCAAATAATGCCTTGCTTTTTAACAATGTTACAAGTAATTCAGTCAGAGGCTAAAGCAAGTGCAGGGAAGGGGAACTGTATCTGGCAACCACTGTCCTGGGACTCTTATCTGGACCATATAGGAAATGCAAGAAGAAGAAAAGAGCAATTTCAAGAATAGGCAGGATGGGTGCCCAGGAGTTGGAATATAAGTTGGTAAGCTGAAAGAGAAAGCACGAGCAAAGTGTATATCAAAGGTTACAGAATTCCATAATGTTCAGATCCCCTTGATTGTCCACATTTTCAAACTAAATCATTAAACATAATTAACCAAGTGAGGAAACAATGAAGTTACAAATAAAGTGTAAAACTGATTAAAAACATGGAATGACATATTTGTAGTTCTTGGGGGGAAAATGAAAAAATAAATTGTGGTACCGCTTGTTTAAAAGAGTTTTCTTTTGACTTCTTTCCCAAGTTCTCTTGTTCTCTGGGGAAAACGTGTTTTCTGTGGAGTTCTTATATCTGAAAACTCATATTTCTTGTCTGGTGTTTTGTTAGGATCTTCTGGTGGAACCTTCTTGATCAAGACATGGCTTTCAAAATCAGATGCTGATCCAGTGTGAACTGGAATGAATTTTAAAAAATGATTAGTATAATCTTGACCATATTCTCAAGTGAAAATTTTGCATATTCAAAATCAAATTTTGCTTTTTTCAAACAGAACTTCTTTCCCTGAACAAAGTGCTCCAAGCACACCATTAGATAGTGACAGTCATTGGATCCAAAGTCATTTGGCACTGGACTTAACCAGGCTAGTGTGTAAAGGTTCATCTGCTTTAAAAAAAAAAATTAAATAAGGTGATTAGAAGAATTTAATTTTAAAAAATTAAATAAGTTAGTTGATACTGACTTAATAACTTGGATTAGTGCAAACTATTCATCATGTCTCTCACTTTCACTGTGTGACAAACTTGATTCTTTTTTTGGTTACATAAGTCCTTAATGGGATCTTTTACGCCCCTCCTCATACAAAGTATTTTAGTATTTTTAATAATTTAATAATTCTCCACTGCCTAGAGGTACCCATGAAACATTCAAAGAACTGGAGGAAAACTTTATGAGTATCAGGTGTTTCCTTTGTGGAGGATTTATAGAAAGACATTTACAAGTAACATAAAATATCTGAAAGTATGGGCTTGGATGGGCTATGATACATATCATTGAAGGGAGCGACCACATTGATGAGATCACATATTCATTAAAGTATTGAGATCTAACTTGAACTTGGAACTTTTTTTTTTGCATATTCTAACATTGCCCAGTATCTACCGTGCAGGCTTAAATAAAATATAATCCTAATTCCAATCTAGTTAGGCTGCTTCTAAGTGCCAGCTAATTACCTGTTTTAGAGACTTGTATTTGAAGCACGTTGTGATTCTATGAGTATACATAATTAAGTTTTTTAAAAAGAGATGATAAAATCTGGCAAAATAAGATTACTACTCATACCATCAAAAAGTAAGAATGGTTGAAAATATATATTTGCCCTTTCATCTTTCTAAAAGGCATTTTTTTTTTTGCAGCTCAAGCATCATTAAGTAGAGACAGACAGTCAGGACTAGAGGGGTTACATCTCTTTAGCTCAAATGGATAACCCTAATGTTTGCCTTCTGTAGCTGGATTTCTTGGAAGATACAGTGAAGCCAGTGGGTTGGTTGGTTATGAACAGCTGGAAGGAGCAATTGTCATTGCAGGATAAGGCTTATGTTTTCTTGGGGAAGCTCATGTCCTCTGAGCCACACCCTAACAACAGCCTGCTATTAGAAGAATTTGAATGCAAAATATTTTTTCTTCCTTTAGCATGCTCTTTTCTGTGGAAGAGAATATACATACATTGTTGATTTAAAATGTTTTTCCAAGGAGCAGGTATCAATAACATCTTTAATTATTTAAATGCCAAAATTAAAGCAACTATTCCCTTTGCTCTTCAGAAGTCTCACGGAAGCTTCACTCTAATGCCATGTTTATTGTCCATGACACAGGATGGCCTTACAAGTGACCTTGTGCTATAACAAAATCTTTCTGGGATTTCTGGGCTTATATATTAACTTTCCTTCATGCAACTTTATAATCCAGCTTAACTTGCTTTTTCCTGTTCCTTATACAAAACATTTTATTTCCTTTTCCCTGTGTTTTGGCACAGGCTGTCCCCACAGTCTAGAATGCACTCCTTCCTGCCTCTCAGATCGAACTCCTTCCTGCCTCTTAGAATCCTTGGTTTCCTTCAAAGTTTAGCTCAAATGCCACTTCTTACCACTAGAGATCTTTCCTCGTGCTCCCAACTATAGTTTTGCCCTCATTCCTGCAATTTATTTTGTATAAATTTATATATGGTCTTCTTTGGTAATCAATCAATAAACATTTATTAAGTGTTGCTATATGGCAGACCTTGTGTCAAGCACTGTGTATACAAAGAAAATGCAAAAAATAAAAAATAAAAGCCCTTGCCCTCAAGGATTAATTGGGGGAGATGACATGTACTTTAAAATAGGTATATACAATATATACACAGAGGAGGTGAAAGATAACCCTAGTAGGAAAGGGGTTGGGAGCTGGAGGGAGGTGGGCAGGAAAGACCTGTAGAAAGTAGCATTTTAACTATGGAGTCTGAATACGGAAAGGATCGAAGCACATTTGTCTTTTTTGTTGTTGTTTTCATTTCGTCTTTCTCTTGGTTTCTCCCATTGGTTCTAATTCTTTTTTACAATGTGAATGATGTGAAAATAGGTTCAATATGAATGTATATGTAGAGCCTATATCAGATTGCACACCTTCTTGAGATGGAGGGAGGGGAGAGATGGGGAGAAGATTTGGAACTCAAAATGTTATGGAAGTGAATGTTGAAAACTAAAAATTAATAAATAAATAAACAAGAAAGTAGCATTTTATCATGCAGTGGATAGAGTGCAGGCCCTAGAGTCAGGAAGACTCATCCTCCTGAGTTCAAATCTGGCCTCATACCCTGGGCAAGTCACTTAACCCTGTTTACCTCAGTTTCCTCATCTGTAAAATGAGCTGGAGAAGGAAATGGCAAACCACTCTAGTATCTTTGCCAAGAAAACCCCAAACGAGATCATGAAGAGTAGAATGTGACTGAAATGATTGAAAGCAAAGCATTTTATCATGGTCTTGAAAGAAGCTAAATGTTCTCTGAGGCTATGGGATGAGGGAGAACACGCCAGACATATTTAGTGCAAAAGTACAGAGTCAGATGTAGGGCATACTGTCTGAGGATGGTATGGCTAGATGGTAAAGTGGGTAGAGGAGGATGTAAACTCCCTGTGGGAAGGGACCGTTTCATTTTAGTCTCTGTATCCCTACCTGGCTGGCATATAGTAGGCATACTTAATGTATGATATATTCTCTAAGAAAGGCTCTAGAACTGCCTTGGTATAGTAACATAAAAGGAAAAAAATGGACTTGGGAATCGGGAGATTTGGATTCCACTCTCATTAGAGTATAAGCACCCTGAGGGTAGGGACTGGTTTACTTTGGTTTTTGTTTTTTCAATACCTATTGCGTGGCTAGCACATAGTAGGTACTTAACAAATTATTACTGATTGATTGAATCCTGGCTCTGACTGTGTCAAGATGGTCAAGATTCATTAGGCTTCTGTGAGACAAGGCATTTTGTAACTTATAGGTGCTGTGAGTTATTCTTAATGATAACATAACTCTTTATAACAATTTGAACATGAATTATGATGAATACAACTATGACTATTATCCAACTCTACCCCTTCAGTTATAAAGTTAAAACAAAACCATAGCCATTGCATTGGGAAGAGCACATTTAAAAGGCGATAGAAAGTGAAACCAGTTCTTTTTTTTCCCTTTCCTTTTTTTCCCCTTTCCCTTGGGAAAGTCTATGTTTCAAAAAGAAAAACAGCCAGCCAGCTAGCCAGACAGATGGAGAGGGACAGACAGATGGCATCATATACTATGGGACCTGATGACCCAAGGACACTAAACTGGATGGGACCTCTGGGAATCCGAAGACTTGTATTATTCTTAGCTCCGTCATTAATTAGTAGCGTGACCTCAGGCAAATCATTTGACTTTTTAGGGCTTCAGTTTTTCATGTATAAAATGAGTAGGTTAGATTACATGATCTTTAAGGTTGCTTCCAGTCTGTGATTTGACCTCTTACTGTGACTAAGGGAGTAGGACCTATTCCCGTAAGGACAGGACACTCATTGGAGCTGTACTCTATTTTTTTAAAAATGCATTTATGGATGCCTTTTCTATCTGCTTCAAAGTCTTCTCACCAACACCCATCCATCCTTTCCCCTTTCCTTTGAAATTTCTCTTGTGACAAAGAAAAATATTTATGTAGAAAAACACCCGAAACAGTCAGTGACCCCTTCTGACAATGCATGTAATAATCTGCCCTAGTGGACATCCATGGATAATCTCCCTTGGTACAGTGGTATAGGCCTACCCTGTTGCAGTAGAGTTATCCAGACAGAAAGGTTGAGACTGTTTCAGATTTCCTCTATGCTGTGACTCTGGGAGGAGGGGCACGGACATAGCTGCTCCCTTACTTAACTTGTGTAAGGCTGGCTCTGGTATAGTACGTTTAAATAAATCATCCTGTCAAGGACCCTGTGTCCTACTTTTGGCAAGTACAACACATTACATTTTCAAATGTGTCAAAATGCCCTGTCTGTACGTTGGGATTGCAGGAGGGAGAAGACCAAATAGTTACCTATTTTGGTGACTGCTTGGTTAGCTCTGGGTTTTTGAGGACACAGCGGTCCCACTACAGGCCTAATTTCAAAGATAGCTCATGGCATCCAGAAGGAAAGGTAGGTCAGGTCAGATCTTCCCTGGGCTTTCAAAAGCAACTAAAATAATTTTCTCTCTCTGTCCCTCCTTCTCCAATGGCAGCATTTAACTTTAACCTCTGAGCCTCTCCAAGAGCAGACTCAGTCATTTTTTTCTTCTTCTATCAAATTGTTTCCAGATATAGGTATGATCATGTTAAAAGAAATCATGACAACAGCTAGATTTCATCTGATGACTGCTCAGAGATGGCTTATCACTGAAATTTCCCAGTACTACTGATTGCTATATCACATCACATTGTAAAACCTTGCTTATTCACTTTGGATCTATGGAGAATCTGAATTATAGATTTTTGAAATGAAGGTTTATTTATCAGTTCTTTCTCCAGATTCAGATAGTGTCTTCCTTAATATGTCTTTTGTAGATAGATTTGCAGTTTCATGTACAATCATCTTTACAGAATTAAACTATGTTATAGAAATGCTTGTTTTGTTCCATAATTTAAAAATGAAATAAATTAAAAATTAAAAATAAGACACCAATAAACAATGAAGTTTTACTTTCAAGTATATGTAATAATTAAGACTGTGGACTAGCAATTTGTCCTAGGGTCCTGCTGAGTCCTCTTGAAGTATTTATTAATTCATTCATTATAGTTATAGCCATTTGCACACAATGTGTTTTGAGAACAGAGTTCCCCTTTCCTATAATAGGTTAAATATCCCACTTCAATTTATGCTCTTGAGTACTTTACCAAGCCCTATCTTTCCCCAAAG